AGCGTGCTTTTTAAAAAAGCGGGCGGGACGCGGGAAAATGCATTAAAAGGCGGGTGTGTCCCGCCAAAAGCGGGACGTCTGGTCACCTTATTTTAATCCCAATACAAAGAGGATTTAGGCCTATCTGATTCATAAGCAGGATATGAGATAGAGGCCAATGTAAGAGTTCCACAACTTTAATCATTCCTGGTGAAAAGAATCTTTCCAAGTAATCAAGATACGGCAGGAATGTTTATGCCATTGATATGTGTAAGGAAAAGTCCACAGATCAGACAAAACGGGAAGCAGCTGATTTCTAATTCAACAAAGGAATAATATGAGGCCTAAAGACCTATCCACCAACACAGCACTGAAATTCAGTTAGAAAATATTAATATTTGATCATATGACTGTAAGGTTTCTGACAAACAAGCAGTCAAATAAATATATTAATCTTTTTTCTTTTTACAAACTTAAATATCAACGACTCAGTTGCGTTGAATTGGGAGACAAGTGGCATATTTATTAAATAAATAATAAATAAAAATAAAACGGGGAGGGGGATGAGTTTAAGCCACATTCTTTTCAGTAATGTCAGAGGTCACTGCTATAGACCCTGAAATTATAGGACAGACTGTAAAGTTGCTCCAACTTGAAATAGCAAAATGTACAAAATTTGATTCATAAGCTATTAAATTTTCAATTAAAATGAATGTACCTATGGATGCCACGAAGAAGCTTGCGATGCCTCCTTGACAGTAAAGCTGAGCCTCCCCATGATGCCTATAGAGAAAGATCATCCATTAAAAGTTATAAGGTAAGCTGGGCTGAAAGATAGCAACTGATACAAAGTGAGCTTCATTGAGTGAATGGAAGTGAGTGAGCTTTAAAAAAGTTCCCCACATTAACATCTACAATATACTGGTTTGAATCACTTAATTTTGCACTTGCAGCACATTCAAAAGTTTAAGCTAGATATTTTTTTATATTCATATTTATTGTTCTTATAAATGGTAATGATAAATTTATTTAACACATGAATGGATGGGCAGGCCATGATTTCAAAATGTCTCCCAGAAGAAAATTCTATGTCTTTTTCATCCACAATTCTAAGAAATGTTAGAGAAAAGCTGTTAAGTCCTCCATGACCTATAAATTCTTCAAAAAATATATATATTCACGTGTTTTGGTGTCAGATAAGATGGTAATATATTAGTCAGCAAGATCACTCACTAAGTTATCCCAATCAACAATCAATTTTCACTGTAATAACAAATAATGTTTCCAATGCATTCTGGAAGTTTTATCCTTTTTCAGATGGCATAATTCAGACATGGAAAAAAGTTATGTGGTTATTTTATTTAATCTGATTTTTTTTAAAAACTGAGGAAATAAAATCACCTGAGACAAGATTACAAGTTTCCTATACAAACTTAAATTGAAATGGCTTTGATGTCATGGAATATGCATGCAAGTTCCAGTTGCCAGAATTAGAAAAAGATTGAGAATATGCAAAGGAAGAGAAATATGAGTTTAGATAGAAAATAGTTCATGGGACACAATAGAAAATCTGAAAACTGAATCAAAATAAGTTGTAAAGAATTGAAAGAGAATGAGGCAGAACTCATAATACAACCTCTAGCAGTGGGATCTCAAGCATCGGGTGCAGAAAGAATGAATAATAATTTGTATGTACTGTATGTGTGGGGATGGGGAGAGTATATGTAGATAGACAGAGAAATAGATAGATTTATATTAAGGAGGCGCCTTGGTGCTCTTGAATTTGTTTGCTATATTGAGACATTTCGTTATTAATGAAAACTAGGTAACATTTTCAGTGAAACATCATTACATCATCAACGCATTATGATCATCAACAAATAGGAACTAGGTGCTGAAAGATAATAATTTGTAGAGTAAACAAGAAACTAGGAAAGAGGAAAAAAAGGAAGGAATCTTTACATGACAAATAATGTAAATTAATAGGAAGAGGTTAAGGTTAATGATAAAAAGAGCTAAACTACCACTACAACGAGACTGGCAAAATGGCCAAGGTAAGGAAATCTAAGAATTGTAGGGACATAGATCAGGAGGATGGATTAAAAATGCTAACATTTTGGAAGAGGAGAAACTATTTTAGATTTCTGAGTGAAATTGAAAATGAAAGTTACATCTTTATGGATAGGTTTCTAAGATCAATCATATTTTCTGATTAAAGTCTTAAAATAGAACAAGTAACATTTTGATCCTACAGAAGTTGTTGAGTGACAGAACCCAACAGCAAAGGTTATTACAGTTGTGATTTAACATCTGGAAAGCCAGAGTTTTCTATATCTTAAAGATATAGTCTCACATGATGTCATTCTCCAATATTAGTATCTCTGTCGAGTACCAAGAGAAAAACTACACGTCTAATAAATTTTTATCTCTAACTAAATTGCCTGCTGTCTAAAATGCATGGTAAGTTTCAGTAAAAACTATTCTACAATTCTATAATATCTAGAAAAAATTATATTGAATCTAGTGTGGATTATACAGAGTCCATTCAAATGATATTGCTCAGTTAATAAGCTGTGCTGACATTTTGTTTCAAATGGACTAAGGTAATAAATAACATCTTATTGGTGATCTGAATCTGTCTCCAGCCATTACAGATTTAGCACATTTTATATAGCTTTTTCTCTGGAGGCTAGAATGGGAAAAAAAAAATTACAGTGGAGGTAGCTTACAGCTTGTGCCTGTAAGGCATTTTCCACATTTTTGTATGTTTAACTTTGGATGTCTTTACAAGACATGAGGAGGAAATGGAGAAAGTTGCTTTCTTATTAACTGATAATAACATATTATCTCTACCACAGCTTTTTCAGTGGCTCGCTTAAAATATAATACTCGGAATTTTTAGTTTCTCTGAATGATTAAATCAAAAGAAACAAAGATATTTTCAAAATAATTATTATCAAGTAACTAAGGGATCATAAATTCTGAATATGAACCTCTTTTTTCTCCCCTGATAATTCATCAACAAGAAAAGCAGAAAATTAGTGAATATCAGATATAATGGTATCTAGCTCATAAAACCTTTGTATATTTATCTTGCTTACCTTGAGTTCCCAAAATTAATGAATAGTATGCAGGGAATTCTATCTTTTTCACTCATTCTCCTGTGTAAGTGGATATGTACACAAACCATTTTAGATTCTGGAAACACTAACCAAAACAATTCCACAGAGTCCTCATAAATAAAAAATAGATGCTATTGAAATCTATGAGTAATTCCAGATAATCATCTGAAATAACTCAATACCCATTAAACCAGTGGTTCCCAAAGTGGGTGGTACTGCCCCCTGGGGGGGGGTGGCTTAGGGGGGCGCTAAGAGGCAAGGGGCGGCGGCAGAGAAGTTCTGGAGTTAGCTCCCTCTGGCGAGCCATTTAGAACCAGTTCTCTCACTCACCCCTGCCCATCCGGAAGCTGCTCAATTGCTCGCTCCCCCCACCCATCTGCACTATGCTAGCCCTGCCCACCTCTCACTGATTGGCTGGCTCACCAATTGACCTGCCCACCTCTAACAGCCCTATCTAAACCCATATACCCTTTTTTCTGCTTGGCTTTCTATAGATAGGGCTCTTAGAGGCGGGCGGGGCGAGTGGTGAGCTAGCGAATCAGTGAGCGGTGGGCAGGGCTAGCATAGTGCAGACGGGCAGGGGGAGCGAGCGATCAAAGGGAGGCGAAGGGCCCACTTTGTCTTGATGAGGTTGCCACAACTACCAAGCGCAGATGGACAGAGGCAGCCAAAGCGGCGGGGCAATCCGGGCAGGCGGGCGAGTGAGCTGCCTGATCCTCCATCACTTGCCCGCCTGGGCCGCTCTGGCTACCTCCGTCCATCCGTGCCCAGCAGCTGCAGCAACCTAATCAAGACAAAGTGGGAGCAAAGGGAGGTGAAAGGGCCTCAGTGCCCTGCCTGATCCTCCTTTGCTCACTTGCTATTTTGCCTGCACAGGGTGTCTCGGTGGAAGCCCTTTGCTGGCGGCCAGACCTCCCCTCTCCGGGGTGATAGGTGGTAGTTTGCATGGTGCGGCTAGCACCTAGGAGGTAAGCTCCCGCCGCCATCCCCACCCCCATGCTTGCAGGCAGCCATGCAGCCCTGTGCTATAAGCAAGCCAGGGATCCTTGCAAGGCTGCTGAATCCTAAGGGAGATGCGAATTGGACCAAAATTTGAAAAACAGGTGAAATTCTTTCTTAAGATCAGAAGCAAACACACACAAACACACACACATACACACACACACACAGCAAAAGTGTCTGGTTTTGAATATAATCCTTCCTAGTGCTTGGGGAAAAAATAGAGGAACATTTGGATATAAATTTTGAATTAACTTGGGAAGAAAATTGCTAAAATCACTTCTAGCTGTGTTCTGCATTAAGGATTCATGGAGTAGTATTCCTTGTTGAATTAACAGAGTAATATTTACAACAGCCAGCTAAGATAGTTTTATCTGTCTTATAATGTGGGTGGGTAAGGGACTTAGGCA